GTGGGTGTGCTTGTTGGCCCCCTGTCACCCAACATGCTGCTACTGAAAAAAAATTGAATGTGCCGGGTGGAAAATTGTTATGTGCACAGCAGTTGCATCCAAGCAGATGAAGCCGTTGTTCATGTACTCTGACAGCTATGGGCAGTAGCCATCAGAATGCAGTAGCCCAGCTGAGGATTCTCCCATGCGGACTGTTCAGGGTGGATGGAGGAACCTGTAAGATTTTTTTCCTGCAGCCTACAAAATAATTTCTTTGTGTAAGGCCAGCCTAAAAGGTGAAGTCCACTTAAAGTGGAACTCCATGAAAAGAAAATTATATTTTTGTAAACGCTAAAATGTAAATGTTACCTCTAATGAATAGTATTTTTTTCAGGATGGTGCTGCTTACTGTAAAAATGTCAGTTTCATTCAGGTGGGATATTACATAGACTACAGAACTCTTCTTCCAGCACTGCAACTTGCATTACCGGCTTTAGTACACAGCCGGGATCTCTGCCCTTATCCATTCACAAAAAGCTTTGTGTTCTCTTCACAGAATACAAAGTGTTCTGTGAATGGGAAAGGAGGGGTGGGTAAACAGCGGGATCGCCCCTCATCAATTCAGAGAAAGCCTTGTGTTATTTTCAAGGAGTACAAGGCATTCTATGAATGGGAGCAGAGGGGTGGGAAAACAACAGGATATTTCTTCATCTATTCACAGAGAGCCTTGTGTTATTTTTTTTACAGGATATAAGGTATTCTGTGAATGGGAGAGGAGGGATGGTTAAAAGACCAGATTGTCCCTTACCCATTCACAGAAAGCCTTGTGTTCTATTTGCAGAATCCAAAGCATTTTCTGAATAGATGAGGGGAGATTCTGTCATTTACCTGCCCCTTATCTCCCCTTCATTCACTGAATGCCTTGTAATCTCCTGCCCATAGGCTAACCTGGACTGTCCAAACAGGTCTGCCTGAAAAACTGACAGTGATTGGACCACCCGTGTGATAGGGACCTATCTCTGTTTTTTTCTAAGCAGCGTGCTCTGATGTTTAGACATCTACAGTGAATGCTTTGTGGGTCACTTCTCATGGCAAGGGTAATTTTTTTTGTTTGTGCCCGGAGTTGGTCTTGAATATATTTCTTGACTTTATATTTAGGGGGATTTCACCAATTCTGGTAGTTACGTTTCATCATTAACTCTCTTCTGGTATTTCAGTATGTTGGTGTGGGAAGGCTCCTTCTCCCCGGCCTCTCATTATCTAGGACTTATAATTATTGTTTACCTTCCAGTGTACAAACTGTATTTTTCCTTGGAATTATCCTTCTTCCCTCCTATGATGGGAGTGTTGTGTGCTGGTATGTGTGTTCAGATAGGGACACTGATGATGTCACCATGACATCATCCACCGACGGAGACAAATCTATCTATTCTCTCTATATTTGGACAATGAGCCAATAACCCACTACAGCGGAGGAAGGGAGTGATGGAGGCTGACGGGGTATGGAGATGTGCACAATGTCCGGATAATATAGGTTATGGCAAATATTAATTTTAGGGGCTTGTCCCGTATATTGTAGGCTAGGACATGTATGTGATGGGTCGGAGATTAGTGTGTGGTATATCAGTAGGTGGCCAAGTGCTTAGCACTCTTACATTGTGCCCTGAGGTAGGATCCTGGTCTCACCAAGGACAAAATCTGCTTGGAATTTGAAGGTTTATATATTCCGCTATGTTTGTGTAAGGGTGGCCATACACGTATAGATTTCTGTCGTTCAATCTGATGGCTAAACAAAAAAAATCTAATAGATTCCTCCATCCACACTAATAGGGGAGACTGTGAATGGGCGATTTCCCATACCGACTATTGTATAGTGAGAGCCACCACCTGTGGCTGTCAGAATACCCAAACAATGACTGTAGATGATTGGGTGCTGTCACTGTCCAGCCAACAATTTTCCACCCAGCTTCTTCAGCAAAAGTCACTTCAGCAAAATGCCACAAGCATACTTTCACCTTTTGTGTATGTGCTGCTGTGGGGTGGGGAATCCCCCATCCACAGCTCACTGGCCCAGCACTGACAGCTGCCTTCAAAGTTTGGATGAACTTAGGTTGGACCAACCCAAGCCCAAGATCATTACTACATTGACATGAGGCCATATTAGGTCAATGATATCACCATTTCCCCTACCTCTTTGTTTACATGCATCTGCAGGGTGGAGAATCCCTCACCTGCAGCTCATTGGCCTGGCACTGCTGCCTTCCAATGGATAAACTTGGGTTCAGAGTGAATCCAGAGCCAACCTGAAGCTCTTTACTATGATGACATGTGGACAGGGTGATAAATCCCCCACTGGCAGCTCATTGGTCTGCCACTGATAGCTGGCTCCCAGGTTTGGATGAACATGGCCAACTGGATGAAATCTGAACAGCCTATGGCCAACTGGATGAAATCTGAGCAGCCTATGGCCAACTGGATGAAATCTGAGCAGCCTATGGCCAACTGGATGAAATCTGAGCAGCCTATGGCCAACTGGATGAAATCTGAACAGCCTATGGCCAACTGGATGAAATCTGAACAGCCTATGGCCAACTGGATGAAATCTGAACAGCCTATGGCCAACCGGATGAAATCTGAACAGCCTATGGCCAACCAGTTGAAATCTGAACAGCCTATGGCCAACCAGTTGAAATCTGAACAGCCTATGGCCAACCAGTTGAAATCTGAACAGCCTATGGCCAAGTGTTCGAAATCTGAACAGCCTATGGCCAAGTGTTCGAAATCTGAACAGCCTATGGCCAAGTGGTCAAAATCTGAACAGCCTATGGCCAAGTGGCTGGAATCTGAACAGCCTATGGCCAAGTGGCTGGAATCTGAACAGCCTATGGCCAACTGGACGGAATCTGAACAGCCTATGGCCAACTGGACTAAATCTGAACAGCCTATTTCCAACTGAACGGAATCCCCCATCTGCAGCACATTGGACCAACTCCGAGGACTGCCTTCCAGGTTTGTATGAACTTGGGTTTGGACCAACCCAAACTCATTACTGTATTGAGTATTGTATGTGGGCTTATTAGGTCAATGATGTCACCAGCATCCCCACCTCTTTGTTTATGTGCAACTGCGTGGTAGGAAATCCTGCACGCACAGTTCATTGGGCCAGCTGGCTTCCAAGTTTGAATGAACATGGGTTTGGACCAACCCAAGCTCATTAATACATTGATATGTGACCATATCAAGTCAAGGATGTCATCAGCGTCCCCAACTCTTTGTTTATGTGCAACTGTGGGGTGGCGAATCCCGCACCCACAACTCATTGGCTTAACGTGAACCTTCCAGGTTTGGATGAAAATGGGATTGGGCCAAACTTAGAGCCAAACCCAAGCTCATTCCTAATTGTGACTTTTCAATAAAAATCTACCATAAAAGTAGACCATGGTATACGGTGGGATTGGCATTGGCCCAATACACACCAGTGGCTATTTGTTCAGCACGGCTTGCTGGTATGAAGGAACCCTGAAGGTCAGGAAGTGACTTGATTGGCTCATTGCTCTTTGTAAAGGAGAGAGGGTCATGTGGGTACACAACATAACTGTGTATATGGATGATCATAATCCGCCTGTGCTGTGATATAGAAACAAGCAAATTACCGATCAAGCGAACAACCACCGGCCTTCCACGCACATGAACCTGGAACCGTGTTTGTTGTATCGCTCGCCGCTCTCTATTTCCAGCCTGTCCCCTGTTGTCCTGTAGCGTCCAGGCGTCCCGCGGTGCAGGTACGTTGCCGTACGACGGAGCCGGGGACACTCAGCCTTGTCACACTGAGATAAGTAGGGACAGGAACACAGCCAGCCAAGGTCTCCTGCCGTATTTTTTTTTCCACTGAAACGCAAAGATACACTTTTTAATTTTTTTTTTTTTTTTTTTTTTTTCGGGTCTTCAATTTAGCATTGGAGAATTTTATAATTTAGTAATTAAAATCTCTGATAGGCTTTAGAAATTGCAGCTAATTGAATTTAATGGGAAGATGATTTTCAATTTTATTTGATTATAGGGACCCCTGGCATTGGCATTTATGGGAAAAAAAAATCTGGAGAACGCACTGTGTGGGCTGGGATGGCAGAATTGAATTGGGGGTAATCTGATTTTCTCATCATGGCTTTCACTATAATTTTCCTATAATTTTCCATTAGATATCTAGTTTACAAATACTCACTAAGAAGCCGAGAGAAAGAAGGCTGCCAGCTAACAGGATTATGAAGACGGAGAGGCCAGTGTGCCAACTGCGCTTATGTAAACACGCCGCCACGCCTTAGTACACAAAGACAGGCTGACACACATGTACAAACTGGTACACGCCGCACAGACAAATACAGCCATCGACCCCGCAACGCAGGATTGTGGGGGCGGGGAGAGCAGGAGGACACCCCCCCACGTCAGGCTACCTTGGGGGGCTTATTACATAACATTTCTTATATAATTCCACATTGGAATAAACTGACACTAAACTCAGAGGCTTGGTCCACCCCTGCAGGAGCGATTGGGCGCAGGCGCGTTCTCACGCGTTACGTGTATGGCAGCCCTTCCATTTCCCTGCAAAAAAAGTGGAAAAGAATTCCCTGACTTTCGTTTTCAGAAATGTGCCACAATGGTGGTTTTGTGCGTGCAAAAATGCTTGCGTTTGCGGATGTGTGGGGCTGCCGTTAGCAATGAACGACATGCGTCTTTTTCTGTGCACGTGTTCCCGACACACAGAGGTGTTCCTGAACCTTGGACCCTGCATTCACTATATGTCGTCTCCCCGGACCCTGCATTCTCTATATCCGCTCTCCCAGGACCCTGCATTCACTATATGTCTCTCCCCGGACCCTGCATTCACTATATGTCCGTCTCCCCGGACCCTGCATTCACTATATCCGCTCTCCCCGACCCCGCATTCACTATATCCGCTCTCCCCGGACCCTGCATTCACTATATCCGCTCTCCCAGGACCCTGCATTCACTATATCCCTCTCCCCGGACCCTGCATTCACTATATCCGCTCTCCCAGGACCCCGCATTCACTATATCCGCTCTCCCAGGACCCTGCATTCACTATATCCGCTCTCCCCGGGACCCTGCATTCACTATATGTCGTCTCCCAGGACCCTGCATTCACTATATCTGATCTCCCCAGACTCTGCATTCACTATATGTCGTCTCCCCGGACCCTGCATTCACTATATCCGCTCTCCGCGGACCCTGCATTCACTATATGTCGTCTCCCCGACCCTGCATTCACAATATCCGCTCTTCCCGGACCATGCATTCACTATATCCAGATATTAATTTGTAAGAGTGGCGGTGACATCATCACTGTGCTGTACATAGACTGTGCAGAGCAGAGGTGTGGGAGGGACCCAGTAGGCCCCACCCACTACAGAGAACTGTGGGAGGGGCAGAAACAAGACCTGTCACTCTGCATAAGGCGTGACAGTTTATTGAATACATTCGGAGCATTACATGTGCTTGTGTAGCTACCCATTGGTTCACACTTGTTCATACTATGCAATGTGATCTACAGTGGGTAACTGAGTAACAGCTCCCCTAGTGGTCACCCCTGTGCGCTCCTCCACCAGTGACGTTCTAGTAGTTCTACACTCCTGAGTAACTGCTCCCCTAGTGGTCACCCCTGTGCGCTCCTCCACCAGCGACGTTCTAGTATTCTACACTCCTGAGTAACAGCTCCCCTAGTGGTCACCCCTGTGCGCTCCTCCACCAGCAACGTTCTAGTATTCTACACTCCTGAGTAACAGCTCCCCTAGTGGTCACCCCTGTGCGCTCCTCCACCAGCGACGTTCTAGTATTCTACACTCCTGAGTAACAGCTCCCCTAGTGGTCACCCCTGTGCGCTCCTCCACCAGCGACGTTCTAGTATTCTACACTCCTGAGTAACAGCTCCCCTAGTGGTCACCCCTGTGCGCTCCTCCACCAGCGACGTTCTAGTAGTTCTACACTTCTGAGTAACAGCTCCCCTAGTGGTCACCCCTGTGCGCTCCTCCACCAGCGACGTTCTAGTAGTTCTACACTCCTGAGTAACAGCTCCCCTAGTGGTCACCCCTGTGCGCTCCTCCACCAGCGACGTTCTAGTAGTTCTACACTCCTGAGTAACAGCTCCCCTAGTGGTCACCCCTGTGCGCTCCTCCACCAGCGACGTTCTAGTATTCTACACTCCTGAGTAACAGCTCCCCTAGTGGTCACCCCTGTGCGCTCCTCCACCAGCGACGTTCTAGTATTCTACACTCCTGAGTAACAGCTCCCCTAGTGGTCACCCCTGTGCGCTCCTCCACCAGCGACGTTCTAGTATTCTACACTCCTGAGTAACAGCTCCCCTAGTGGTCACCCCTGTGCGCTCCTCCATCAGCGACGTTCTAGTAGTTCTACACTCCTGAGTAACAGCTCCCCTCGTGGTCACCCCTGTGCGCTCCTCTACCAGCGACGTTCTAGTATTCTACACTCCTGAGTAACAGCTCCCCTAGTGGTCACCCCTGTGCGCTCCTCCCAGCGACGTTCTAGTATTCTACACTTCTGAGTAACAGCTCCCCTAGTGGTCACCCCTGTGCGCTCCTCCACCAGCGACGTTCTAGTATTCTACACTCCTGAGTAACAGCTCCCCTAGTGGTCACCCCTGTGCGCTCCTCCACCAGCGACGTTCTAGTAGTTCTACACTCCTGAGTAACAGCTCCCCTAGTGGTCACCCCTGTGCGCTCCTCCGCCAGCGACGTTCTAGTATTCTACACTCCTGAGTAACAGCTCCCCTAGTGGTCACCCCTGTGCGCTCCTCCACCAGCGACGTTCTAGTATTCTACACTCCTGAGTAACAGCTCCCCTAGTGGTCACCCCTGTGCGCTCCTCCACCAGCGACGTTCTAGTAGTTCTACACTCCTGAGTAACAGCTCCCCTAGTGGTCACCCCTGTGCGCTCCTCCACCAGCGACGTTCTAGTAGTTCTACACTCCTGAGTAACAGCTCCCCTAGTGGTCACCCCTGTGCGCTCCTCCACCAGCGACGTTCTAGTAGTTCTACACTCCTGAGTAACAGCTCCCCTAGTGGTCACCCCTGTGCGCTCCTCCACCAGCGACGTTCTAGTATTCTACACTCCTGAGTAACAGCTCCCCTAGTGGTCACCCCTGTGCGCTCCTCCACCAGCGACGTTCTAGTAGTTCTACACTCCTGAGTAACAGCTCCCCTAGTGGTCACCCCTGTGCGCTCCTCCGCCAGCGACGTTCTAGTATTCTACACTCTGAGTAACAGCTCCCCTAGTGGTCACCCCTGTGCGCTCCTCCGCCAGCGACGTTCTAGTATTCTACACTCCTGAGTAACAGCTCCCCTAGTGGTCACCCCTGTGCGCTCCTCCACCAGCGACGTTCTAGTATTCTACACTCCTGAGTAACCGCTCCCCTAGTGGTCACCCCTGTGCGCTCCTCCACCAGCGACGTTCTAGTATTCTACACTCCTGAGTAACAGCTCCCCTAGTGGTCACCCCTGTGCGCTCCTCCACCAGCGACGTTCTAGTATTCTACACTCCTGAGTAACAGCTCCCCTTGTGGTCACCCCTGTGCGCTCCTCCACCAGCGACGTTCTAGTATTCTACACTCCTGAGTAACGGCTCCCCTAGTGGTCACCCCTGTGCGCTCCTCCACCAGCGACGTTCTAGTATTCTACACTCCTGAGTAACGGCTCCCCTAGTGGTCACCCCTGTGCGCTCCTCCACCAGCGACGTTCTAGTATTCTACACTCCTGAGTAACAGCTCCCCTTGTGGTCACCCCTGTGTACTCCTCCACCAGTGACGTTCTAGTATTCTACACTCCTAACGGCTCCCCTAGTGGTCACTTTATACAACATCTTCATGCTAAGTGGGCGGAGCCTTGGTGTCATACATACTATTAATGGTTGAACTGGATGGACTTTTGTCTTTTTTTCAGCCAGACTAACTATGTGACATACAAAGCAGGGCTGTTTCTCCATGTTGCATATGGAAGGGGGGGGGGGGGGGGGGGGGGGGGGGGGGGGGGGGGGGGGGGGGGGGGTCGCTCACACAGGTATTATATTTGGGTAAAATTCATGTCGTCGTATTTTTTCCCTGAAAGCTGGCGGGAGGGAGAGGAGAAGCTGACTTTCAGCAGCTGCAGAGAGAGCCGTACAGGGGATTGGTTCCAGTAATTGCCCCACCCATCATGCTGATCACCTCCCTGCCCACATCCGATTCATCCAGCTGCCTAAGCCCCCCCGCCGGCCTGGGGCCCCCACAATGCCGGCTTTCCTCTTCTTCCCAGCAGCAGCTGCACACAATAGGATCCTCCCAGATGGAAAGTGGGGGAGGGGAATAGGTCACATGTACCCGCCCCTTCATTTCCTGAATGAACACAACGAGGGGGCAGTTAGCGTCCCGCCTGATTGGCTCAATTTGTGTGAATCCAATCTAAACAGAATCTAAATCAACCAGATCGAAAGTTATGGATGGTCGATTGTTCAGTGAATAGAGGCCATTCAGGAGATTGTACAATCAGATTGTGCAGTGTATGGCCGCCATAAAGGAGATTGTACAATCAGATTGTAAAGTGTATGGCCGCCATGAGAGAGGTTGAACAATCAGATTGTATAGTGTATGGCCGCCATTCAGGAGATTGTACAATCAGATTGTACAGTGTATGGTCGCCATGAAGGAGATTTTGCAATCAGATTGTACAGTGTATGGCCGCCATGAGAGAGGTTGAACAATCAGATTGTACAGTGTATGGCCGCCATGAGAGAGGTTGTACAATCAGATTGTACAGTGTATGGCTGCCATGAGAGAGGTTGTACAATCAGATTGTACAGTGTATGGCCGCCATGAGAGAGGTTGAACAATAGATTGTACAGTGTATGGCCGCCATGAGAGAGGTTGAACAATCAGATTGTACAGTGTATGGCCGCCATGAGAGAGGTTGAACAATCAGATTGTACAGTGTATGGCCGCCATGAGAGAGGTTGAACAATCAGATTGTACAGTGTATGGCCGCCATGAGAGAGGTTGAACAATCAGATTGTACAGTGTATGGCCGCCATGAGAGAGGTTGTACAATCAGATTGTACAGTGTATGGCCGCCATGAGAGAGGTTGAACAATCAGATTGTACAGTGTATGGCCGCCATGAGAGGTGTTGAACAATCAGATTGTACAGTGTATGGCCGCCATGAGAGGTGTTGAACAATCAGATTGTACAGTGTATGGCCGCCATGAGAGGGGTTGAACAATCAGATTGTACAGTGTATGGCCGCCATGAGAGGTGTTGAACAATCAGATTGTACAGTGTATGGCCGCCATGAGAGGGGTTGAACAATCAGATTGTACAGTGTATGGCCGCCATGAGAGAGGTTGTACAATCAGATTGTACAGTGTATGGCCGCCATGAGAGAGGTTGAACAATCAGATTGTACAGTGTATGGCCGCCATGAGAGGGGTTGAACAATCAGATTGTACAGTGTATGGCCGCCATGAGAGAGGTTGAACAATCAGATTGTACAGTGTATGGCCGCCATGAGAGAGGTTGTACAACCAGATTGTACAGTGTATGGCAAACTTTAGGTGAGCACAGATCTCAGTGGCTGTCCTGGGATATATGAAATGTGAGTCTGTTGCCCGACGCAGCCACCCCCGCTGTGAGAAAACGAGAGTTGAGTGAGGGGGGCGGCGGGTGATAAATAATGATGGCCTGCTGTGTCATAATACAGGATGTTGTGGTCGTAGTTATAACTCTGTGTGAAAACGGAAATAACGAGGTAACGTTCATTGTATGTAAGAGTGTATGGGAGGCCAACACTGCAACCTTCCCTACAGCAATCCCCAATCACCGATCGATCGATTCCTGCACTGCACTGCACACCCCCATCCCGATGGGACCATATCGGGGAACCGCAGCACATCTGCCCATTGGTTCTGTTGGGCCTAGATTGGTTCTGGTCCCTGTCCCTCCGACACACAGATCAGAAGACGGTTCATCCCGATCTCTGGGGATCGATTATCTCCACCCTCTATACATAGGAGCGGAGGATGGAAAAAACGATTTGATCCATCGGGCTCTGTGATCCATGGATGTCAGATGTCGGTATTGGCGTGTGGGTGGGGTCAGCCTGGACTTCCTGTGTCCTGATAGGTGGATGTGTATCGGGCATAACCTGTATGTGTCTTCATTGTACAGCGGGGGGGAGGGGATATCGAACGTATGCAGAGTATTACCATTATTGTGAGCCCAATGGGGCAGTGCGGGGACATGGGGCAGTGCGGGGACATGGGATAGT